ATCTTAAATACCTCCAGGGATGGCGACTCCACCACCTCCCTGGGCAGGCTGTTCCAGTGCCTGACCACTCTCTCAGCAAAGTAATTCTCCCTAATATCTAATCTAAACCTCCCCTGCCGCAGCTTCAGACCATTCCCTCTGGTTCTGTCATTATTCCCTTGGGAGAAGAGGCCAACCCCCACCTCTCTACACCCTCCTTTCAGGGAGCTGTAGATGGACTCTATGATCCCAAGGGTCTTTTCCAACCTGAACGACTCTATGATTCTAATTCCTGTAATAACTGCTCACAGCCAGGGTAGGCTCCCCCAGGCTGGTATGGAGCGAAGGGGTAAACCAAGAGACACAGCAAAAAAACCCAATCGAAGTGGCTCATTGCTCATTCAGGGTCTTCTGGATTTCTCCTTGTGCCAGGTGGGTCAGAAAGAGCCGATGTCTCTGGCCCAGTCTCTCCCAGTGGCTGTAGGGACTCTGCTTTTGCATCCAGGAGGCTGAGTGAAGAGCTGTTGGGTTGTCACAACGCATCCTGTGCCCTGCTGCCAGAGATGCCCATGGCTGTCCACACACATCAGCTTCCCCGTCAAGGCAGAGCTGGCAGAGAGAGCTCTCTGCTCCCCTCCTTCAGCCCTGCGCTTCCAGCCCTGCCGTGCTCGCCAGGAACCAGAGCAGCTCTGAAAATCTGACCCACTTTAAGCAGCACAAACCAGGTCTGGATGCAGCAGTTAATTTTTAACCAGCAGCTATTCTTTGGAATGGATCTTTTCCTTATTGCTTGACTTTTATCGCTTTTATCGTCTCTATCCTGTTAGGAAAGCCCGGACAATTGGGAAAAGTCAAATTTAAGATAACGTCCTTTGAACCAGGTTTCCTGAGGAGCTTCCAGCTATGAGATAAGCTGCTATTTCCCACTGAACATCAAGTTCTCAGCCTTGAGAGCCCAACCTCTCTCAGTAATTGCATCTCACTCAACATGTCAAGAGAGAGAAGAGGATTTGGAGCAGCCCGTGGGCACACACACACACTCACACGCACACACGAGAGCAGGACACGGCAGAGGAAGCATTCTGCACGCAGGGGAAATTCACAACGTTCAGTCTTCCTGGGCTTATTTGTCTGCAGGGTGTCTAAGGGAGGAGCCAGCAATGAAACAACCACGCCAAAGGACATCAGCTCTCCTGCAGGAGCCTGGGTTGTCATCTATTTTGCTTGTTTCGGCTCCTGGACCCGATTTCTTTGAATCCCAGCAGTAATTGTTAAGACAGTTTTACAGCCTAGTGCCCCATGCAGCTCTGCAGGCTCTGACAGACTGCTGTGTGGGGGTTTTTTTTGAAGGTTTGAGTTAACTCTATCATGACTTATAGCACTGTTCCATCCATCTCTGGCTAACCTTTCAAACAGTAGCAAGTAGGGGTTGCACAAGGAGAGGGAACCAGGGCGGCAAGAAGACAAGCTCATACCCTGGTGCTGCAACACATCCATGGTAGGGAATAGAGTAAACCCACAGCACAGGATAATTCCCTTTCCTATCAGCAAAGTGGCTGCATTTCAGGTTGTGCTCTATTTTTAGAGGCTTGTCTAAATCTTGCTGGGCTCTGCTGGGTTCTTTGCCCAGCGGCTGGGGGGAAGGAGGCAAAGGCATTGCTGAGCCCCCATCAGACCTGCATCCCGTCACAAGGGGAAAGGGAAGCAGAATGTGGCTGTGAGTTCCTATCAGGGGAGACCTCCTGGCCCCCGCTTCAGGCACAGCTGCAGGAGTGCTGGCCAAGCTACACTCTGCACTCACAGCCCGGAATTTGGAAGAGAATGAGGCTGATTTTCCATAAAACTCAATACCCAGGTGACAGTGAGAGCCTCTTGATCGCCTCCTCTGATTGGGGGCTGGGGAGCAGAGGTACCAGTCCTCTTATTTTCACCCCCACACCAGCAGCCTTTGAGCTTAGAAAAGCTTAGTTTCTGAATAAGTGTAGTCTGAAAATTGGGATGGAACAGGTTCACCACGTGTGTGGTGACAGCTGAGGACCGGTCTGGGACTGGGATTTCCAAACCCCTGCTCTAGAGGTCATTTCTCTGGTCCAGGCAGCCAGAAAGGAACTGACCTTCAGCCTCAGGGTTTAGGACTCGCCTGCCTCTGAGGCAGGCTCTGCTGGGGGCTCGCTTTGTGTCCGAAGCTTTTTCACCCCCCTCTCAGTAATAAGGCAAAAAACATCTGAGCAGCAACGAGGCTTCAAGCACAAAAAAGAAAAACAATCACCCTTTTTGTCTGAACCCAGCAAGGCAGCTGGGGAGTGAGTGGGAGGAAAGGGAATGACTCCCTGCGCCGTCGGCAGGGCTCCTCCAGCCCAGCTGACCTTGGCCAGCTCACTCTCTGCTTCTCTAACACTGGGGAAACTTGTGTCCCCCCCATTCTGGTTAGTGTCAGCCTGGGGGTTTTCTCTCCAGCCTCCACACCAGCTTGAGAAGGTCTTGGTTTATGACTGGTCTCACACATGCCCTGACTTTCCTCTTCACAGGGCACAGCTCTGAGTCACATCTGAGTCTCTCCTTCAAGGCACTGATTCTCTATTTTCCACACATTCAGCAAGTTCTAGAGATGTAGGTCTCGTGGATGCAGGCTTTGTTGCCTACAGGAGACAGGATGAGATAATCCACGTGCTGCCCCAGACAGCAAGTGCTGGAGAAAAGCACTGTCTTCCATGGCATTAAAGCCAACACCAGAGGTGGCATCTCACAATAGGGTGCCACCTTCCCCTACCCCGTCACCATCTCCCACAGCCTTTCTGTGTGGGAACCTGACTTTTCTGGCACAAAAGAGCAGAACCAGCCTGGTTTCTGGAGTGGAGGAGGACACTCGCCAGCTCAGGAGGGGAAGCATTGAGAAACACACGTTCCGTCCCCAGAGAAGGCTGCCACCCCCCCACAAACCAACACTCAGGAGCTGGAAAGAGTCTCACATGTCCTTCCCCTCCCTCCCTCAATTACACAGTCAGTTTGAGCCCAGTTATTTTATAATCCCAAGGGTGGAGGAGGGCTGCTGGGCTTTCCAAGGACTGCAGGCTGAAGGTAACCTTGCTGCTGGGAGCCAGGGACCAGGTCCACCATGGGCCACCTGATGTAGGCAGAAACCTCACTATGTCTGATGCCATGTGGCATCTGGGGGGCCTACAGAGGACCATATTATTCAACTTGAACTCATTAAGGGAAAGAGCCACGCTAAAATCTGACAGAAGGGGGCAAACTTGCTGGAATCTAAAAGCCATGAGAGGGAAAGGAGGGGAAAAAGGACTTCCTGCCATCAGCAAGCTGCTGTTCTCAGTGGAAAGAAGGCAGGTGGGACATGGATTCCTAGATTAGAAATCCTGTCGCATAAACAAGCTTGAAGGAAACAGAGGGTTGTGCTGGGAAGTGCTATGGCTGACAGCTCTCCTTCCCTTATGGTATGTCCTGCCAGCCTTATACTCCTCCCACGTCAGACTGGGGAAATAGTTGTAATTCCAGTAGTCCATAAAGAAAGAGGTGACTTGATGCATGCGAAGAAATCAAAACAATTCCCATCTATTTTGGGGACAAGAGACTTTTGTCCTAGAGCTGGGTGCTGCAATGCCTGACCCAAGGATGAAAGAACAATGAGAGAAAAAAAATATTCCCCCACAAATAAGTCATACTATTAGTCAGAAACATCCTCTCTGATTTCCACCCTCCCATGAGGGCACAGGCTCCCTCTGCAGAACTGAAATTGCTTCTCCAGGCAAAAAAGAAGAGATGGATGATGTGAATGCAGGGTCCCATCCATGGCCAGCACAGAGGGATGCACCGTGGGCTTTTCAGAATATTCTCCATAGGCCACCGGTCCTGTGCATAGGTCTACGTGTGCTTAATTTAAGGGCAAGAAGGGATAATTGTCATTGTTCATGAGAAAACAGGTGACTCTGGGAAGCTCGTAAACACTTGTGCACACAATATGTAAACACTTGGACGTTAAGTGTGTTGGGAGAAATAGAACTGGGATTGCAATCCACAGCAGAGAAACACCTCTCCAAACTGGCTGCTCTCAGTTCACAATGCCAGCGATTTATTTACGTTTCTATGGCTTTCTAGTTTAGTTTTTCATATCAGCAGGGTTATCCAGCCCTAGTCACACCTCTTACATCTATAATTAGATCTTACATAGTCAACTTCAACAGCAAATGATCCAAAGCTCTGGCACTAGATAACACTCTCTCCCATGCTCTGAAATCGGGAGGTGGAGAACTAGAAAAATGCTGCAGAAATTTCTCAGTGGATTAGTCAGTAAGTATATTATCAGAGCCACTCTAAATTACCCTGAAATAAGTGTACTTGTCTTTGCAATCTCCCTGGGTGAGCACTGACTCACTCCTTTAGCCTTTTCAAATAAACACACCTTGTTTTCTACCCCATCATCTGCTCAATTTACCTGAGGACCGACACTATCAGCCTCCTTTACAGGGGAGTCCTTACCCACTTCTGTTTCAACAGATGCGTGAAGAAGCATCAAGTAGCACTAAGCAACAGATTTATGCTGCCATCTGGGTCTGCGACTACATTCCTCACCTCCCTGCTAGAGAGGAAAGGGAAAACAATCAAATAAGAAGCTTTGCTCAAGTTGGAAAGGAATTTCAGTCCATTGTGGGGCTTCTAAACAGGTTAACCTTGTGGAAAGCTCCACTGCAGTGGATTCCTAGTGAATGGTCCTAGAAAGGCAATGGGTCACTGGGAATGCTGCTAAACATTCAGATAATGTTGTTCAATGGCTGGACTAGATGGTCTTAAAGGTCCCTTCCAACCTAGACAATTCTATGATTTTATAAACAGTATGTGAGCAACAAAGAAGCAGCAAAACACACACTAAAACAGACCTGCACCTCTATATACATTTATACTCAAATCCTGGTCTCTACTAAAACCAGGAAAAGTTGCAATTCCAGCTATTCCTCCTCTTCCCAGCTGCAGAACTAAACCCAAGCAAGCAGTGAAATCATACATACCCCTTCCACAGCCATTTCCACTCCTAGTTCTTGGGAGATGAGGATAACCCAAGCTGCATTTGTAGAGGTGGACTGTGGGGCAGAGAAAAGGGAGGAGGTAATCACCCCTAGGCACGCTCAGCTGGCAATCCCAGGTGGTGGGACTGGTGGTTGGGTGGGGGAGAGCTTTGCTCAAATGGGGCTGCCCTAATGTTTGGCCCTGCTCGTGTGTCTGTCGTGCAGGGGAAGTCTGGCAGATCCTGTTCGGCAGAGTTCTCCCACCCACGGGGCTTTTTCGGCCCCTGCAGCTTCCTGGCACCTGTCAAGGATGTTGCTGTTCTGGTCTTTTCCCCGTGAAAGGCGCTCAGGAATGAGCTTGAGCTTCTCTTTTCCCATCCTCTGCCCCTTTCCTCATCCCTCTGGCTCTTGAGAGGCCGTTCCAAGTTTGTCAGGAACGAAGAGGGTGCGTGAAACATGATGGAGAGGTGTCACAGAGGGGTAAAGAAGAAAAACAGATGCCGAATGGAACTGTGGAACTGGAAAAAAAAATTTAAAAAAAAGAAAAAAGGGCCCTGTTTTTTGTTTGCAGCCTTCTCCCGAGGCTGTTTGTGCTCATGCTTGTAGCATTATACACCCAGGCCACCGAGACCTCTCCTTGCACAGAATTCGCTGCACATCTCCAAAGCAGTGCAGTTCTGGGAGTTCATCTCTCTTCTCCCCTGGGCCTTCAGAGTGGTCTGTGGCTAGATGTGAGGAGAGACCTTTTGCCCCAGTTTTCACCAGCCTTTGCTAGCTGGGAACCCAGCAAAAATGCAGGTTTTTGCACCTCTCTGTGTTAGGCCTCTGACCCTAACCGGAATCAAACATTTTCCAGGATTTAAAATCAAAAACCTGACACTCAGTTCTAGTGCAGTGATTCCTGGAATGTTTTTTTGTTCATTAATCAGTGATGACAATACTTTCCTGTGTTGCAGTTTTGGAAGGAGCATGAAAGCTGGAGACTGAGCCTGTGTTGTGTATGATGCAGTAAATACCCAAAATCCTCAATAGCAGACATAACGTGTTAAAGAGGACGCCAGCAGGAATTCAAAGACAGGTATGTCCCCTATCCATGGACAGGCACCTGCACACGAGGGGTCTCGAGCCCAAAGAGAAATGTTTTTGTTGCTGGTTGTGAATGATCTAGACAGCGGGAGGAACTCCAACAGTGACCTCATGAGTGTCTGATGCCAGAGAAAGAGCTGGCCAGGCTTTGGAGAGAGGTTTTTTGGGGTTTTTTTTTGTCTCTAGAATGTTCACGGGCTTTTTTTGAACAGCCATATCCAGGAGGATTGACAAGGAGATGGTGCATCTGTTCTGAACAGCTGCTGCCTGGGGGTACAGGCAGTTACAGGTGAGAACAACCTCTCTGGTCTGTGCAAGCCTTGGGAAGGATCGCTTTCCCATATCCTTCTAGTCACTCTTGGGACAAGAAAGGGGACGTGCTGGTCTCTAGGTCTTCCTTCTACCCATTGTTAGTAGAGTCTTTGAGTGAAATGCTTCAGAATATGTCTTTATTGCTCTACAACACAAAGGAGAAGCAGTTTCCTTCTTCTGGAGATGGTGTTCTTCAGTGCATAATCACAGCCACTGAAGTGCCAGCATCCCCCCCAGCATCCTTCCCGATTCACACAGAGGCACGACAACCCACTGCTGCAGCATTTGGCATTTTTTACTGATTGCAAAGCACTCAGCAAGCTGAAAAATAATGATTCCAGACAAGATTGCAGTGTACCGTATCCTGCTAACAACACCAACAGCCTGTAAAGACAGGCAGTTGGGGGCACCAGTACTGTTGCCTTGGGATTTCACCTTTAAGCCCCTAAAATTCAATGCAAATAATCCTTTTTTTTCCCCAAACCCCTATATTGAAAAGCTGGTGGCTATGCTGGGGTGAGGGTTAACTTTCCATCATTGACAAGCGTGACTCAAAGTACCCTTTCTGGTGGAAATGTGGGAATTCTGCTACTACAACTTTTGTACTCCAGGAAATTCCAAACCGTGTTTTTCCAGCTCACAGCTCTGTCCTCAATCATCTTTTTTTTCCCCAAACCCCTATATTGAAAAGCTGGTGGCTATGCTGGGGTGAGGGTTAACTTTCCATCATTGACAAGCGTGACTCAAAGTACCCTTTCTGGTGGAAATGTGGGAATTCTGCTACTACAACTTTTGTACTCCAGGAAATTCCAAACCGTGTTTTTCCAGCTCACAGCTCTGTCCTCAATCATCGCTGTCTTGATGAGACAACCCCAAAGGTGCATCACACCCTTTGGCTGCCCGTCCACACCTTAACTGCAAGAAGGCAAAAGGGTTTTCTCTCTTTTACCCCTGCTCCCTCTATTTATGTAGGAGATGGAGTATTGCACTATTAATAAGCGGTAAATCAGGAGGCTGAATGAACTCCTTGCCCGCAAGCAGAACTAAAACCCTCTCATCATCCACAGAAGCCTGACAGATTGATTTCCTCTCTCTGCTGCTTTTTTTTTTTTTCCGCTCTCTTGATGAGACCACCCCAAAGGGGCATCACACCCTTTGGCTGCCCGTCCACACCTTAACTGCAAGAAGGCAAAAGGGTTTTCTCCCTCTTACCCCTGCTCCCACTATTTATTTCGGAGGTGGAGTAGTGCACTATTACTAAGTTGTGAATCAGGAGGCTAAATGAACTCCTTGCCCGCAAGCAGAACTAAAACCCTCTCATCATCCACAGAAGCCTGACAGATTGATTTCCTCTCTCTGCTGCTTTTTTTTTTTTTCCTCTGGATTTCTAAGTATCTGGAGTCCAGTTGTGACTAGAAAGCAAATGCCAGAATATCACAAATGGAGTGTGTGCCTGGTGCGTTTGGCTCTGATGGAGCCTTCCTGACTAAGCAATAGCAAATTAAACGGCAACTGGGTGTCCGGCAGCAGCGTGAGGCGCAGCTGGTGCCTGCAAGAAAAGTGGCCTTTGTAAAAACATCTGTCCCCAAAAGCTGACACAATTCCACGCTCCCTTCCCGGGGGTCAAGACCTCACGAGGGGAAAGGCAAGTGTGGGAATGGAAAGCCATCTCCAAGGAGGGATGAGAGCAATCCAAAAGCAGTTCGCTGGAAGCTGGTTGGGTCTCTGGCTCCTTCCCACGTGGTGTTGTGGCAAAGTGATAACGCTCGTGCGTGTGGCACCCCATTTCTAGGTAGGGACAGCATCTGTCAAACTGGACAATAAACACTTGTGTAACTCTAGTGTTGTCCTGGGTTGAAAGACACAGGCTAATGCTGGGGAAAATTGCACTTCTAGAAGACTCTAGTGTCTGAATTTGTGAAAATATTGACTTTATAGCCAGCCAGGCTCTGTGGGATTCAAGGTCTTAGTGTTTTTGAGCCTTGCCAGGTGCAGGGACAAGGAGGAGCAAGGCCTGGGCATTTGACCCAGGCTGGCCAACAGGATTATTTCATACCATGAACTGTAGTTCTCTCTCCCTTGATGGCAGTGGTCCAGAGAACTCCTTACCCCGATTCCAGACCCCTGAGTCCTTCCCTTCCTCCCAAAGCCGTTGCACTCACAGTGCCCTACGTTTGTTGTCCACTGCTGGGAGTGCACGGCTTCCTACTGATATAACTGGCTGAGTACATTTACTGTATCTCATATCAGTATCGGGCGTAATCCTGGTTCTTCCGTATTATTGTTAACTATTTAGTTTTAGTCTATTAAATCTATTTATATTTCAACCCTTGTGTTTCCTTGTGTTCCCCAATTCCCCTTTCCGGGTGGGGAGGGGTCATCGGGTGATAGAATAATTGTCTAAACGACAATAGATTGTTATGAGTTTTCTCAAACCATAACAAGTGTCCATGGGAATGGGCTGTGAGCAGTCTGCTCTGGGAGACTGGCCCAGCAGGGCTTTCCAAGATGCACCAAGAAGACCCCCCAGTCTCAGCATCACAACCGGTGCTGCCACCGCCCGTGTCGGCCAGCGGAAGCTGGTGAAGGAGTCAGGAGGACTTTTCAGAAACAAAGCAAATATTCTTGGCTTTCAGCAACAAGAGGTTTATGTCTGGGAGGAAGTCTGCTCTCCTGGTTTCTATTTTTGCTTCTGCTCATCTGTTTAGGGTCCAGGGCTTGGTTTCCTTAGCTCCATGCTCTGTACTTAGGGAACAATGAGAGCAGGCACGGTGAAGCCGGCGGCATCTGAAAGCAGAGAAGCGAACCAGACAGCATCACTTGTTTTCCTGACTGGTTTGTTTGGGATTTTGTTGTGGTTTTCTTTTTTTTTTGACCTCACTTCTTATCTCTCCCTGAGGTTCACACAAACCATTGAAAACCAGTTCCAGCCCCGTACATCCTGTCTACTTTATACCTGCTGGAGGGCTGCCCACCGAGTCTCAGGGGGCAAAAGCACGTCAGCATCTTCTGGCTGGTCCTTCCCAGCGTGGTCGGCTTGACCTTTATGATGCTGAGCCCCCCAGTTGTGTCGACAGTGGAACAAATTGCTTCACGCAGAGATGTCCTGTCTTACAAAGTAGCCCCAGAGACAGGATGTCAAAACAATCTCCAGCACCTAAAAGGGCTGGGAATGACTTTTCATCTCCCCCCACTAAACACCAGTAAGAGAACTTGTGCCAGCAGATCTGCTCAAAGCCCCAGGTTTCCAGAGCCTGGCATGTATATGCTGAAACACCATGGGAAAATAAAAAGGAACAGCTATGTTTTCTCTTCTTCCTCCCCAGATCTCTCGCCTGTCACAAGAAGTTACCTCCAGTGGCATTAAAGCTGGTGGGGAAGGGGGGCACAGCTGATCTGTGCCTGTGGGAAACCCTCAACACCTTTAATTGTATTCTGCTCAGTCTCACTCCCTGGAGGATTTGCTGGGCGGCTCATTAGCAGCCAGGCTTTTAGGAACATCAGATCCCAAGTGCAGATTGTGTTCACAGCAACTTCCACGAGAGCCAACTGCATTCCCATGTTCTCCTCTGCAGACAGGGGACTGGGAGCCAGCAGCTCCCTTCGCACTCCTGGCCCCCTGCCCTTCCTGTCCCCAGGCTGGACCAGGCTCTCTCTCTCTGCAGATACCCCTCTGTTATCTAAAACCATCTTCCTCCAGCAGGTTTTCACTCCTCCACACT